GTTCAGGATGAGTGGAACAAACGAGTGTCGAGTTTTCGATCCGCATTTCAAAAGAACGCCAGGTAATACTTTAAAAATTGAGCAGCATGACTCAAGATAGTCTCGCAACAAATAATTGGCTGAAATACCACAAAAAAGCGGAATCCACGGTGCATAGCAACATTTCAGATATACAATAATAAACTACATGTACATGGCCCATTAACCTCTTGTTATCTATAAAAATATTGCCAATTTTTTTTAAACATTTTTCCTTTTAGAGACATCAGAGAGGACATTGGTCACAATATTTCGGACATGTTGTTATCATGTGCATTCGATGGAAAAGAATGTTACACTCGAGTAAGTTTCAATCATCAAATATATCAGAATCGAATGATTAAGTTACTGTTATATGAATATATGTACTTCTATCAAAGGATCCTTTCCTTGATATGATATCATCTGTAAGATTTTTTAAATGTACATTTCAGAAACTTTACCCTTTTCCAGTCTTTGGAATATGGCAACTGTTACACCATTGAAAGCAGTTCCTTCGTCACGAAGCAATCTGGACCGCTTCTTGGTTTGTAAAAATAAAAAAAAATGAAACAATAAAAAAGCCATAAAAAAAGTGAAGGTTATAAGTGTTAAATTGTTATTATTATATGAGTTTTATGTTGATAGGATTAAGACTGACATTAAATATTGAGACTTCAGAGTATATTGACAACTACATGGACGCTCATGGCGTAAGGCTGGTAATTCACGAACCTGGAACTCTTCCATTTCCAGAGGATGAAGGCTTCACCCTCAACCCTTCATATGAAACAACAATAGGAATGAGAATGGTATTCATGTAAAGATTTAATGGTTAATTTCCTTGCACAATGTATTAATCTGAAGACATGCACTGTAGTTTTATCCATTTTGTAGGTAAATAAAATTGCCTCAAACAAACAAAAAATGTTGTTTAATTAATTACTGTATTATCACTTTCATTTTTTCCCATGACATATAAGTAAATGGTATAATTCACCTGTAAACAAATTTATTTCATTAAAACAGTAGAAAAAATATTATCGCAACAAGATGACACAAGTACATAAAATACACCGTGTTTAGAGAAACCATGTTTACCTTTTTCTAGCTATCGATCCATCGGGCATCACAGCCACATGGTAATTGTGACAATGGTGAAGACTTTATGAGGCTGTTTGGAATTCGATATACAATTCCGGTATGTGTGTGACGTCATAACTTACCAATCTGAAAATCTGCACTTTTTAAAATGCATGTCCGTCTCCTTCTTGTGAAACACTTTGCCAAGCCTTACCAAACTTGTCACAAAACAGGTCGAACAAGGGTAAGTTGCATTTGTGAGTGCAATGGGCAACATGTTTTTTTTTTAAGTTGAGGGATGAGTGGCTAGTGGGGAAAGCCAACTGTTTATATCGATATTATTCTGTATAGCCGCTGACTAAAAGTCTGTAAATGCTTCTGCAGACAGTGTACAGTGAAATATATTTACATTTCCAACTATTTTCCCTTAAGATTCTTTACAAATTAGAAAAGGTTCATGTTCTCATGAACTATCATGGGTTGAGTAAGAATATTACTATTGTAATGTGATTGAAGTCAAAAAATAGTACAACTTTTTTCTAAAAAAAAAAGAAAAATCGTTGAATGACAAAAAATGTTACAAGTCATCAGAAAATGGTTTTAGTATAAGATATGAATTTCATTTTTGAAATTCATGAGGTACATGAACTACAACGCTTCACACCTGCATATTTTTCAAAAAGCACTAACGCGCATCATGAAAAATACAGGCGTAAGGCGTCGTGGTTCATGTCCTCATGTATTTCTCAAAAATTAAATTTATCTCTTAAACAAACCAGTTACTGTAGTATTTCAGGTATAAATTGGAGAGCACAAAGGGGCTCAATACAACAAAGAAAAAAATTCCTATCCAGAAGATTTATACTGAGCTTTTCGATTAGAATGTTTAAAAGAAAAATAATCTAAAGAAAGTTGATCCATTATTCGAAAATGATATTATAGAGACATAAAATAAATCAGTACTCTAGAGCTTGTAATTCATTAACATACATCTTTTTTACAAACTATTATTAATTATAGTTTTAATGATTTTATTTACTCAGTCCTGTTTGAAACTCTGCAAGCAAAGGGAGATAATGGAGAGGTGTTCTTGTTTACCGTCTACGTCCTATGTGAATGTCGGGAACTATGATGGTTACAAGCCCTGTTCACTACACCATGGTAATTTTAAAAGTTGTTTACTTAATATCCCCTTGCAAAGAAGTTGGAGGGACTTAGGTTGATGCGCGGATTGATGAGTGAGTGCGCGAGTGAAAGTTTTGACATTAATCTTGTCCTATTTTTTCAATTTGTTATTAGCTTAATTTTTGTTGCTGAAATTATGAAGGATTCCTTTACTATTTATCCTAGCTGATGTAGGATTTTGAATCTAAGCATTTTTCTTTAAGAACATTTCATTATACATGTATATGTTCTTAATTGATAAACGTGACTGAGAAATGCATGCATAGGAAGGGCATTTGTATCTTACGAATATATTTCTTTCTATAAGCGTATTTCCTTTATATTTTTTCTCCATATTTATAGTGGATGTTGACTGTGAAAAATTTGTCAACTACCAGATTGAAAACCAGCTTATTACCTGCAACTGTCTCAGTCCATGCAAGCAAGTTCTAAATTAATCATCTTACTTTAAACAAATAAAGAATTTTCAATTACGGCATTCAAATCATATTGCTAATACTTTTTTAAAAAGTAGTTTATTATCTTATGTATCAATGACATATATGAATTAATTCCTTCTCAGATATACTGCAATAGGGGATTATTATAATTTCTGTAACATTTCTTTCCTCAGACAATTTGTTTACAAAACAAGTTTATCTGGAAGGAAATGGCCAAGTGAAACGTATATGGTAAGCTGTTTTCAATAGTGCAATCATTATGTTTGTTTGAATTTCAAGAATTTATATCATAACGTTCCTAGTCGTTTATCGAAGTAGGTTGCGTATAAAACTATAATTGGTGAAAAACATTATGGTGGACTGTAATAAGTGATATTTAAATTTAAAATGTTATCATTTAGACTAAAGGTGTCATATTTTCACATGTGCTTTATACAGAATTAAGCCCAATATACACTCAGTTACAGGAAGAGGCTTCTCCTCTTCAGAATCCAAACATCACATTTCTCTCACATGATATAACAATAAAATTAATTGCAATTTTTTCCCTATTTTTTCACTCACTGTACACAATTCATGGTGTTAAATTATGTATACATGTACTTCTGGAAACATTCAGAGAAACAGAAGTGTATATTCCTTGTTTATATCTTTCGTTATCCTATTGTTATTCTATGTACTACAATTAAATATGGAACGCCATCACTGCCTTATAGCATACAACTATGCATTTATTACGTCAATTTATCATTACGTGATGTGAACATATCTTTACGTTATGTCCATTTTTTATGGGATGATGAAAATATATCTTAACATCATGTCAATGCTGCATTACATGAAGTAAATACATCCTTTCATTATGTCAGCGCTTCATAACTTGAAGTAAAAAATTCATTATGTGAAGTGATAATGTGTTTACATTGTGTTAAAACTTTATTACGTGAAATGAATGTTTCTTTACATCATTTCATTTCTTTAATATGTGAGGTCAAAATTGCATTACGTCAAGTAAATTGTGTTTTATAATTAAACTTATCATTACATGAAGTCAAAAGCCCATTCCTTTTTGAGAGTGTATATTTCTATTATATCAAAGCATTATTACGTGATATGGATTTATCTTTATTTTACAGCGAGGGCATCATGATGTGAGGTGAACACATCTTACCTTTATGTCAGTGCTTTATTACGTGGTGTAAAATGTGTATAACATAATGTGAACATATCTTTATATTATGTCAACACTTTATTACATTATGTCAAAACTCCATTCCGTGATGTGGATACATAATTACGTTATGTCAACTCTTTCTTATGTGATTTAAAAATATCTTTATATTGTGTTAACTCTTTATCATGTTGATTCCAAAAGTCCATTACCTGATGTTAAAATACATTTACATTATCTCAAAGCTGTAAATCTAGTATATAATGAATGTTGACGACCGTGTTTTAATGACTGGTAAAAAGGAGGGAGGGGTCCTGATTGATTAGGACAAATTACAGGCACATAATATCAACTCCCCCTCTTTTCCCAGACATAACTTTACTAAAGAAAATGTAATGTTCACTGAAACTGTACAGCCCCCCCCCCCACCCCCACTTCTTGTAGAAGTATAGTCCACTAAGGGTAATGTAATATATCTGGAAAAAAACAGGACTGATTGAAGTTGGACCACTCTCCCCGAAATAGGATTTTCGGGCTTGGACATTTTTTTTCTTGGCTTGTCAAGTTTTCCGGGTAAATGATTTTTTTTCTGGCTGACCTCCTCTTTCAAAAAATAATGCTACCTCACTGGAGTTAGTAATTTTTTTTTATCATTCCAGGGCCAAAATTCTATAACAAAAATCTACCAGTCGCTCATCTAAATCAATTGAATATGCCTTAGTAAGCATGCATGGGCACATATCAGTGGCAGATATGGGAATTTTGAACAAGGAAGGTGGACGGTATATGCATGGTTGGAGACCAAGGGTGGAAAGCGGAGAAGCTCTCAGGCTTTCTAGTTTTATAGAAAAAAGTTTTCAACTTAATTCAGCTAAACTTAATATGAAACTAATGCAATGTCCTACAAAGTTTAAGACTTTTATTTAAAAAAAAAACAAAACAAAACAAAAAAAAAAACAATTCAAAATAAAATGAAAAAAAATGATTGCTGCACGACTCATAATATTTGATTTATTTAATTATCAGATTAAAGTAAACACCATTGAATTTCGACGTGACTTCAATTCACGGTCGCAGTGTTAAGGCTTTGCGTGTTTCAAGATTGTCAATCATTTGTCGCGTAAAGTTTTCATTTAAAGATGTCATTCCGAAATCGCTGAGAACCTATTCTACGACAGTTTTCTGGGGGGGGGGGGGTAAATCCAATATGGAGGAGTGTGTACACTCGTTTTGGTCAGGGGATCAAACTTTGTTTCAAGACAGTGGAAAAGTGTACACAGAGCTTCAACCAGTAAGTGATCCTAGTCTATTAGGCTTAAATCAAACCAACAACCATACTTTTGACTCGGCTAGTGATTCTGCATTCAATCAATTTAACCAACTTTGTCAAAATGGTAACCCACAATGGAGTGAGTTAAACTCAGACAGCTCTACCGATGCAAAAACTCCAGTAATGTCCTGGGTAATTCTGACATCGATGCGAGAAAAGACAATTTTTCTACACTCGATTCCAATTTGAAAAATTTACCCAGAGATCTTTACGTTCAAAAGTTGCTTGATCTCACTCTAAGTGACGAAAACTTAATTGTTGACTATAGAACAATGCTGTGTTCTAAAGCCAAAGCTATCGAAGGCTGTCCCTCTGGTAACCTAACATCTAGGAAAACCACCAAACGAAGTTCTAGTGTAGTAAAATACGCCAGAGACTGTTTTGCTTTGTATATGTTTTGTAATGGAGACGCTACTTTCTTGTCTTATGTATTTGATAAATCAAAACACGAACAAAATGACCTGCCCAAAAGTTCGATAATTGAGATGCGTTCCACTATTCAAACAATACTACAAAGAGTTACCAAGCTAGAAGAAGTTCAGTCTAGTGGTACTAAGACGATCCAGTCTCTCAAGAGAACGATTACTGATCTCAAGTCAAAAAATGAGTCCCTTCAATCAGACATTGACCGACTACATAATGATTTCCGTACACATGTTCTTGGATGTGAAACGTCGCGTAAGGTCACTAAGGCACACCTACAGTCCCTTCAGGGTCTAGACTTTACCGAGTACCAAGCCCAAACAAGCAAATTCAGTAGTGAAGTATCCCGCTTGTCTAAAGTATGTGTTAATCTACAGAAACAACTATCCGAAACAAAAACGACTAGAAGATTTGCGTCAGCTGTGTCCCCGCAAGGTGCCTCTCGCAATACACAGTCTACACAGACCACCAGTAACGGTTCGTCACACTCGGGTAGTTCTTTAGCTACCCGTGTTACTTCAACCGCAGACGACACGTTTGATCGCCCGCATTGTGAAAAAATGATCCCCGATCAAAACAATACAATGCCGATAGAATATACCCCAAACCGTTCATCGGGTGACGTAGCGCATATCAACATCCCAACATCCTCCAAAGATCACGATCATAGTGACCAAGCGGGTGCTCTTAAGAATATCAACTTTGAGAGTTCTGTACTCAAAAGACCAACATTCAGAGCAGGTCTCTCGTACACCAATAACTATAAAGAAAAAAATCAGAATGCAGCTTACGACAAGAACAACACATCCCGTGTCCCACAGACCTCCGAGGAGGGATCGAGATTTCCTACATCCTTCCAGGAAACTCCTGTAAAAAACACTGATGCCATAGCTTCAGAGGAAGAAGATATTTTCGAAGGTGTAACCTACAGGCGTAACGCCAGATATTACGTTTCAGGAATAGGACCCAGGTCCACACAGGCTGGCATGCTGAACTTTCTGAGAGCTAAAGGCGTGTCTGTGTCGCATTTTGTGCTCTTCAAACCTAAACACCCGGGATCTCGACGGAATGCAAAGATCAATGTAGCGTTGCGCGATGCAGAGATTATTGAATCGTCCGGATTCTGGCCGAAAGGAATTTTGTGTCGCCGGTGGCTAAGTAATAAACAATGGGGGATCAAAATTGCGAAGGAATCCGACGTCGATTCTGTAACCGACAGAGAAAAGGAAAATTGGGATCCACAAGACTGGCATATATATCATAGTTACTTTCTATCTTTTTTAGACGGAGGCTGTATGACAGCCTCCGTGTATAGGGATTGTCTTGCCCAAGAATGTAAACAATGTGGATTCACCAAGCACCATCTATCGGTGGAATTGTTTTCATTACCTTGGGAATTCTATTTTTAGAGCGACTCTGAGTTTCACTGGTACACCGGCCGCCAGGATAGGCATAGTCTAAAACAAAGATCGCGTCACATACAAGTATAAACAAACAGTTCTACTCTTTCTACATAAACAGGATTTGTCGAATATATTTAAAATGACGTGTATATAAATACATTTCCTACGGAATATGTAAAGAAGATGTGATTTACTATGAATTTTTTATCAGACAGAATATTATGAGATTTGTTCCAACAGACTATGATAAAGCGCGTTTTACAATATGCCGAACCTTTTCCCGCCGATTCTCACACCAAAACAAGAACGAGAAGAAATGTAGTGGCGGATCTAGAGGGAATTGGGGGGGGGGGGGGGGGGGGTAACATCCACGGAGAGTGATCGAGGAGTCCCACTTATCAATTGTTTCTTTTATTAAAGTAAAAACTATCTCTAATTACAGATAAGTTTAAACTTTTGTTTTATATTTAATTGTAAAAACTTCCACCAGAATTCGCCTGTATCAAACTAAGTGTGGAGACGCAGATGACTATGCAATGTACCTGTATTATGTATTGAAGAAAAATCCTGCAATGTCGCATGCAAATGTTTTATGTCGCAGGGATAAATATAAAACAGTGGGACGGACAACTTCGGAATGGACATTTTTCCGAACTTGCGCACCCTTTTC